AGTTGATTGAACGAGTTATCATTGAAATGGGATTTTGAGCGGCAACATAATATTTGAGTAGTGAGTTGCATTTCAAATAAATTTGGAAATTGTAGAGTTCGAGCAGGGATAATAGAGCATTAACGGTGTATAATCATAGGATTAAATATTAGCCCAGTGCGTATGTAACCTTATTGAAAAATATGGATGTCTGTATCGGCAACCGTATGGCCGAAGCATGCATTATGTATTCCAGGAATTCTAACCAATGGGGAAATTACTACCCGCCGCACTCATTTCCTCCATTTAATGCTCCTCTAACTCACACGCCACTGTTTATTGAGAATGCCGTGAATAAAGGAGGCTAGAAATTTGTAATCCGTATAGACAGAGGCCATAGGTCAGTTGCCTTCCTATGTGAATTGCAAATAGCGTTTTTTCTCGAAACAGATCAAAGGTAAGGTCCTACTACGCAGGCCAACTTCTATTAACCCTTCTCTTGATGAGTTTTAAAGTCATATTTTTCTCGAATAGACTAACAATCTACTTGCTCACCCGCAAGGGTAATTCGTAACTCTGACTTTGTATGATAAACGGAATCAAGTTAAGCAGATAAAGAATTCAGTTTAGTTTCATTGGATTTGGATAACTTTTGTAAGACCTTAAGTACGAATCAATTGAGAAATCGTGTTAAAAACCGTCTGTATCAAAAATTACTCTTTCTTATTTAAACCAGTTGCTACAAACAATTAATAGCTATTCAATATTTTATTTAGAAATAGATGGACAAAAAATGGATTAAAACGAGTATTTGGAGATTGTAAGATTATATAGAAAGGCGAGCTTAATGAAAGACATAAGGCCTAACGGAAAAAGAATTACGGTTGCACAAATTTCATATGCAAAAGCAAAAGAATGCGTCACTCCGATGATTTGAACGTAGACTTCATCACAAAGGACTTTGGCTGATTGAGATTGAGCGAATTAAGTGCTCGTAAGATTCCATCCTCTTCATCAGCTGATTCACCTACCCTGTGACTGGGAGGTGAGGGAAGCCTAGAGATATCGGCTGAATCCTTCATTTCCTCCGATGGTAATTCCGATTCCAAAGTCATTAGGTCGTCTAGCTCTTCAGTCAGTTTGTCTTCATCGATATCTCGAGATAAACTATCAATCGGAGATGCAAGTGCTTGAGAAACAGCTTGCTGATCCTCGATATTTGCAGCCAAGTCATCCATGGTTCTTTCAGCATCATCAAGACCCGACAAACCACCAGTAGTTAGTTTCAAAGCAGAGTTTGCTTCAGATATAGCATTGAGAACAGTCTTGTTATCCTTAGCTGCTGAGATTTTCAACTCCAACATTTCTAATTGCATCAAATATTGTGATTTTCGTTCTAATTCTTTCTCAATTTGCTTACAGCGGCGAAGTAAATTTAGAGCATCGTACTTTCTAAGTAAAATCATTCATAAGCTAGCATAACAGTCACTTACCGATTACTCCTAACAAGGGCCTTAATCTTTTGACGACGATTAAAAATTTCATTAGAAAGACTTTGCTGATCTTGTGTAATCTGTTTCATTAACTTTCTTAGACGAGCGACTGACGATAAAGTAATGGGATCGAAATTTACTAGTGGAGCATCACTGAGAAAAAACACCAACTAAATAAACTGGATTATAAATAATATAATCATTACCGGAACAGATGCAGAGAAATCTATTTTTATGAAGCCTCTCCCAGTAAGTTGATTTTTAATAAAATCTCGCGACTCCGTATGACAGAAAAATCTTTTAAGTGCTTCATCAAAATCCTCCAAAGAATAGACATGACCTTCCATGATTAGAGAATCATGATCTTGTTTGTATTCATTTAGAAAATCATCACACAATGGTGCAACCAGGTCAGTGAGATACAACGGTGTATGCTCCGTTCCATAAATCCTTTTATTTAGGTCTTCGTTCAAAGTTCTATATAATCAAAATGTAGTCACGGTGCAAGACTTACTCTTCTCCACTTAAAAGAGACCATGCCCATGCAACCGGCTTTTTGATAACCCATGTATATCCAGCGTTGAGGAAATTATCAATCAAAGTGTTATTATCGACTGGCTTCACCAATCCTGAGTTCATCATTTCAGACAAAACCTGATGCAAGCATCTAGGTTTATACACAACTCCATCAGAATCAAAAGTTCTTTTAAAAGCCTCGGTTAAAGATTTTTCGGTTATAACTACGATACGATGAAACTTCGCATAACTGATAATAAGATCCCTCCAGAAGGAAATTTTATAGTTATAGCCAACAGGGTCGATCTGTCTTGGTCTCTTGATTTCAACGAACAAACGATAAATTTCATCTTCATCATTCCAGACCGCTGGAGGCTGGAATACACTCTCAGAAATAGATAGACTTTGCATCTGTGGGACAGACTTTAATAAAGTAGCAATCCGCTACACATCAAAACACAGTTAGCCAAGAAAGTAAGTAAGGTAATATCAAGGTCGATAAGTATCAAAATATTTAAATATTAGAATTTAGCAGGATTATTCTTATTAAAAAGGCCTATAAAAATTAATTTTACTCTTTTAAGATATACTCTCTTTTCATTCTATTGAATGAAATTTGTTAAGGATATCTACTAAAAAATTATTTATAAACTGCCTATTTTGCACCAAATATTTAAAGGTATGAAAAGAGTTAAGAAATAACTAGAATCTTAATCAAAATTCGAAAGATGATTAGTATATTAGTTATTTGCTTACTCAAGTACCGATATTTATACACTTGGCAAGGGACGCATATATTTCCTTAGCTTATTGCTCTTACAGCTACTACGAATGGTCAGATCTTAACATGAAGCATTGTCATAACTTTAGATAGTGCTATTTTTCTGCATCGTTTAATCATAATTTGAAAAAAATAGGTCAGTGAAAGGTAATTTAAAAAGTTAAAGTAAAACTCTAATAGACTATTTCCTTTTAATATCGGATATCATTTCCTACTCTATAACACTAACACACTCTGTGTAATTTTTTCAGACAGTTGAAACTACCTAACCTTCTCTCATTTTAAAGAATCGATAAAGCGAGCTTTACGTTCAATCAGTTTACATCGATTTTTTGAGTTCATTTGAAGCACAATCTGTTTGTGTACAGCTACGTTTCATTTTGCCGGTCATTATCCATTATTCAAAATTAAATTAAACTTCTTATCCGGAAAAAATCACAAATTTTTGCTTTTATAGAGAAAAAATGCGCCATCGAACCAAGTTGTGTTTATGTGATCAATTTGACTTGAACTGAAACAGAGCAAACCATTCGACACCCCCAGGTTTCCGCGTCAATTCAACTAACTGCAGGGCCCAGGGTAAATGAAATGTCACTCAGACCATTTGTGGCAATACTTTAAATAGATTGAATTTTAACTCTTGTTTTGCATTTTTGCAGAGTGTGCCCAAGAAAACCTTCTTCCAACGTGCCTCTTGCCGAAGGGATTTCAAATATTCCTAACTGCCTATTCTCCACTCTAGGTTAAGTGCTTGCCTGCAAATGTTATCTCATTATTATGCTGTAGTAGTGAAATTGGTGGGAGAAAAAAGTATCGCGAGGGTCAAAAATAGAAAACCTAGAAACATGATCTCCTTCCTAATAATTACTCGTTTTAAACAAATAGTGAACAGTAATAATTGGACACGAAAATAATTACACGATAGACAAAATATTAGCCAATTATTTGCCAAGATTTCACAAAGAATTGGCACAAGCAGAAATACAGAAAAATTCAAATTTAAAGGTACGTATTTTTGCACTTAACCTACCTGGATAGGGTTGAAAACCACTGTGAGGTTCTTCTCCAATGCGACCTAAAATGACGCCAATCAGTACTGATATTAATTAACAATAAACATAGGCATCTTGGTGAAACTTCAAAATGTGATTGGAGTACACAGTTCTAATACGATTAAATTAATCAATTTCATGTGCGTTCAGACATTCTGGAACGAGCGGCAGTGATACTAATTGCGCTCGGGAGCAAGTGAGGTCGTGAGCGCAGAGCCCACTGGACCAATCAGCAATCGAACCTTAATTAACCTCATTTTAAAGCTCTAAGAGCTTAAATAGTGATTCCTTCTATAGTATTTTTGATCATTAGAATGTGGTTAGGTGCTGGAGCTGGGTGAACGTTTCTTGTGTTTTGTATACATTTGGACATCTGTATCTTGGATTTTTAGTTCTTTAAAAGTTTTGTGCACATTGTATCCTATTTTTTGTGATAGATTTTGTATACATACATACATATATTGTACTCATCTTAGACGAGCATTTTTAGACTTAGTCATGTTTCTGGGTTCGACTATTTCCGCCTAGAAAAGTTGTTATTTTTGGTGGTTTAATACTTTCTTATTTATACTTTGATATTGTCTTTTGTGGTAATTTACCTAGTCCCTTAGAATTACCATCTCTGGGATGTTTTATATCATTAGGGTCAAGCTTAGTTACAACTTCATATCATCATTTAATACGTTGGAAGTGTAGTTGGACAACTTTAATTTTAAATATAATATTAGAATCTTCATATGTACTTTTACGATTATCTGAGTTTGAATGAATAATGGCTAGAACCTATGATTCAACCATTCATGATGGTTGTTTTTTGTATTGCTGGTAAGCATTTAGACTTATATAATTAGACGTAATGGTGTAGCGGATTGCTACGCTAGTAAAACCTGACTGACTCAGAAATCTCTATGGCAGAATCTCCAACATCTAGCTAGACTCCCAGAACCAGCTAAGTCATAGCCCAGCT